CTCTGTCGCCAGAAAAATACTTAACGTGCATCACGGATCAAAAGCTCATCTTTTGGCTCCAAACGTACGAACCGTTGCGAACGGTGATAAACACTTCCGAAGCCAACCCAACTCATGAAGAAAGCCCATAGGACTTAGGCCGAAAATGTCGATACTGGTTTATCCTTCAGTTAAAAAATTGTTAGTGTTGTGTGTAAAGAAATATTTTATTTTGTTTAAATTATCATTAAATTTCAGTTCTTATGAAATTCTTGCGAATGCGTAATGCTCTTTGGAGAAGAACATTGTGTGATTTTTCTGACCTTCAGAATCATCAGAATTGTTTACGTTGAAATTAAGGTGTATTTCGTTTATGATTTTCAGATTTTCAACTTAAGAATAATTTTCATGGAACGCATTTCTTTTGTAAATCGAGGGATAGGGGTTTGTTGATTTTCACTGTTTCGCGCAGGTGTGGGTTTTCTATTTTGCTTTGCTTAAAGCCTAGTCAGTTGTGAGGTAAAAATTACAAAGTACGTGCCTTGAATGAAGCGCTAATCAATTTTGATATATGGACGGAGTACAGTTGGTTGTTTATGACGACATAATGACAAACTTTCGTTTAGTTCATAGGGTGTGTCTGACTTTGCCAGACAATTGGACGAGCGAAGACAAGCGGCGGACGCAGGCAGTGGCCAGCAATCAACGACCATGCTTGACCATAGGTTACCAACTTTGTTACGCGACCCCTTTCAACGGTGTGCGTTTTTAGACGGATATTACGGCACGACGCTCGAGAAAGTCGGTCTTCAAGTAATGTTTTAGATTTTCGGTAAAAAGAGTTGTGCAGTTACGACGAGTGTCGGTATTCATTCTAACGACGCGTTGTTTTTTCGCGTTCAAGGTATGGAAGGGATCGCTGCTGTTGTCCGAACTTGCTTTCGCACGTCGCCAGTGCCTGAGCTGTGAGACAGTTCTGGAATTAGGATGTGGCGTCGGCATGGCTGCCATCGCTCTCGCCATTAATGGCGCCAATGTTTTTGCAACTGGTAATTTTTTGTTTCCTGTTATACCATATGTTACGGGCTTTCAAAGCGAGCATGGACTAAATTATGAGATTGAGTGAAGAAGTGAGGGAGGAGTGGCGTGGTATGTTCGAAGACCTGACACGAAGCCTAAAAGAGAGGCTAACTAAAGGGCAGTGTTGAGGTTCATGAAGTTCCTTACTCTTACGAAACGTCTCTGTGGAGGGATCACGGAACTCATCCCCTATATCGTAGCTATATTTCTACTTACAGTGACGCACAGCACCGCCGTCTTCGCACCGCCGCCGAAGCGAACAGTCCTATCACACCTTCTCGCCTATCAGTGTGAATTACCAACTCCGTATTTATCAGGGCAGCAAAATTAAGGAGAGGTAAATTAAAGAAGAACAAACTGATTAACGATGTTATTAATGATGGGACGGCTAGGAAAGCAACAGAAGGGACAAACTGGTACGAAAGTACTGAGACTAGTCGTATGGCTGTAGCGAGGTGGCGATGTTACTGTAGTTATCCTTTGAACTGGCGCGAAATGCATTTTGTACTGTAAATTCTCAGTTGCAGTGGAGCCTTGGGTAGCTTAATGGTTCCCGTAGTCAAGTAGGAGCATGGCAACAATGTGATACGCAGTAAAATCTAGTCTTGGAAAAGTTGTGTTGTCTAATAATAATGCATTTAT